AGCGTCAAGTAATGACAGTGATGAATACTTCTTCTTCTTCCTTCCTTCCTTCCTTGGAACAGAGCGATATTTCAGTGCACTTCCGAATTAATGCATATCGTAAACTAAATATAATTTAAATTTCATACTACGTAAAAGAAAATACTACAAGATTATTTCTGAAATCATAGCTGCTAATTATTTCACTTCAAAGAGTTAACCGACTTATTGTTTTGCAAATATTAATAAGACTAATAATACAGATTTTGAGAAAGGTGAGAAATGAGTATAGAACTCAGACAAAAGAAAAAGGAAGTAGTATCAGTTTGTCTGGATTGAAAATTATGCCCCCAGTTCATAATAACAAGTCTGTTGTACAATGGAAGTAATAAGAAAAAACACAGTTACCCAACTAATATTAAAAATGAACTATTGTAGTATTTTCTTGAGTAACATAGTACTACATTAAGTTCATGTAGTCTGTGTTTGTGAAAGGAGGTATCAGTTTTATGGTATATTGGTTACCTAACCTAAAGTATAGACCCCTTGCTAAGTGATCAAGAACAATGATTTAAGGATGAATTCGTAGTTGTACTGCCTTAACTTTAAATCGAACGAATGATGTAGGAAAAGAAATTTCCTGAATTGTCTGTATTTCCTGGAAAACATGATCAATCGATCTGTTTCTAGCTATTACGAAAGTCAGACATGAAGAGAAATATTACTGATTTAGCGACTATAGACCGTAATTCAAAGGTTTAAACATATAGACTATATTGATGTAGGTAGTTCGAAAACCGCTGCTACTTCTAGAACACGTGTATACACCTAAAACAGACGATATCAGCGTATTGATGAAGGAATTAAGATTGACGTTCCAATAGCAGCTGGCTACAAAGTTAGCAGAATAGGAAAGTGTTACTCATCTTGAAGAAGTCCATCATTATCGTCTCTAGTATACCACAAAAGAGTAACAGACATTACATTTATTCTTCAGAAAAAGACTAGAAAAGAGGAAGGTACCTTCAACAGCTTCCTGCAAAGTGAAGGAGGTATGTGAACACATTATGGCGAACTTAGATTACAATAAGTAATGACATCAGAGTAAATGTAGACTGAAATAGTATGTGTGTGTGATGAGGAAGTTGAATGCATTGATCACTCCACTCACCTTAGAAGTCGGATGAACTGTAGTAGATCATCGACCAACATCATTTCGGCATGTAAGCAGAATACTCAGTTGACTTATACAAACATTAGTCACATATGGTGTTGGTGAGAAATCTGAATGCTTATTAGAGAGCGAGTGTACTGTATGATAGTGAACTCTCCCCCACTATATAACTGTGGAACATGTTGATGAAAGGTAAGAGATATTATAATGTTTCTGATCTTTGGTAAACATTGTCATCACAGCCTGGTCCTTATTGTCTATTGTCGGGTTTAAAGCACTTCGGTGTGAGTAGTTCTGCTTTACGCCCGTAAAGCTTGGTCTATCCGAGCTGACGATGTATGACAACTCTGTGTGTTCGATCACTGTTTTCTCCGTAGGATTGCTTGCACCCAGTGGCAATATCATGTAAGTAATTTCAAGGTATGACAGAGTGTGTTTGGGTATGATGGGGATCGTCATTCAATAGGTGAAGTCATCTGGTAATACCGGCTTCGGTGTTACGCATGTCATCCCAGAGGCTTCCATATCGTTCGTTACTTGCTAGCCCTCAAACTGGATGGAAGAAGAGGACGAGTAGTTAGTGTATGACGTGGCGCCGTGGGATGAACGATAGTTTTATCGGGTTAGCATGCGCCGCTGCATCACGACCCCCTGGGTGGAATCTAAGAGATCACGCAACACAGTGGCTTGAAACTTTATAAGATACGGCTGAGAATCGAAACCACTGGCGGTTATGTCGTAGCTTTTTCTATCTTCGCTGCTGAAAAGTAACGAGTTTTATATGAGTAGGTTTTAATATAATCTCAGCAGGTTTATCCCTTAACTTCTTTCAGGACATTCGTAACAACTATGTTCTGGATGTTTATAATATAGTGAATAATTTGTTTCGAATGTATCTTTTTGGACTGCATTTCTAATCATTCTATTCTTATAGGCCTTTTTCGCCTTCATACACTTCCCTTCGCGAAAGCCATATTTCCTGATGCTCTTGCAGCACCATGCTTGTGTTCTAATAATATAATGGTAATAATCACAATAATAAAATTAATAATGTTGATAGTAAAAATAACAATAATAATAGTGGCAATGGCGTTAATAAAAATAATCGTAATAATAATAACGACAATAATCTCAATAACAACAATGATAGTAACGGTAATCATATTGATAATAAGATTAATAACAACAATAATGATCATAATAACGATAGGCATAATAATCACATTATTAGCAATAATTATAATAACGATAGTGACATTAACAATAATAATATTGATATTATCGGTTGTCATAATGATAGTGACGATAATATTAACAACAACAGGAATAATGATCGTAGAAATACCAATAACCATAATAACCACAAAAATGATGATGATGAAAATACTATTGATAATAACAGTAAAGACGGTGATAATATTATTATCAATAATAATAGTGACGATATCACTAACAAAAGCAATAATGGCAACCATATATTCAATAATAGCAATAATGACAGTAATGATGATGATAATAATAATGATAACAATAATGGTAATAATATTAATAATAACGGTAATAAGAACAACCAAAATAATAATGATAATGGTAACAATAGTATTGATAATAATAGTGATAGTCGTAATCATAACAGTGATTAAAATAATCATTAACAGGACCATAGTAATCAAAAGACTGATAATAATGGTAACAATATTGCCAATAAAGGCAGTAATGATAATCATAACGATATTAATGATGGTAACGACAGCAATAATGGTAACAAAAATAACATTGTTATTAGCGATGATAATAATAATGGTAACAATAATATTATTAGTCACAGTAGTAATAAAAGTAGTTATAATCATAATGAAAACAACAATAATAACAAACGTGATCATATAAGTGATAGAGATAGTAATATTAATAATGGTAATTACAATAATACCAATGACAATGGCAATCATAGTAAAAATAGGCATAAAAAAAATAAAAATAACAGTAATAATGACAATAACAATGATAACAACAGTGGTAATATTACTAGTAATCACAGTAGTAATGATCATAACAATAACAGTGATTATGATAGTCATAATATTCATAATCACAATAATATTAATAGCAGTAACAACAATAACAGTAATGACAATCGGAGCCATAATAATAACAATAATGATGACATTAGTAATGATAATCAACATAGTCACAATCATATTCATAACAATGACAGTAATAATGGTAGTAATAATAATAATAACGACTGATATTAATAATGAGAATAACAGTAATAACGATAATAATGGTACTACTACTAATAATAACAATAATAGTGTTATTAATAATGATAGGAGTGTTAATAATAATAATAATAATAATAGTGTTACGATCCAACACTCCGAGACAATACGACTAACGATAGAACAGTGACCTCTCAAGTTGATATTCCACTGATATCAGAAGACGATGGGATTGAAAGTTTATTTACTTCAATCGAATAGTGATAAGTGAAAATTCAGTCGTTTATATATCCTTAGATGGCCTTGGTCAGAGAAGACAAGTTAGTATATTCAAAATGTAGAATGGACCAATCAATGTTTAGCATCCCAAACTGCGGTAAATATAAGCAACATAAAATGGCGCAAAATAGAGATTAAACTTTACAATGATAATACAAACATATTGTAAGTTAGTTATCTTAGGGATCAGCCATCTCTAACAAGTAGTGATAATAACATTGATAGTGACAGTAATAATAGCGATGGTATTAATGATGATCATCGTAATCAAAGCAGGAATAACAATCATAATGATAATCATCATCATAAAACACATAATAATGATGATAATAGCAATAATAATGATGGTAAAAATAAACCGTAATAACGACAATGATAATAATAATAATGAAGATGATAAAAATAATAATAATAATTTGAATAACGATGATCATAATATTAACAGTAGCAATGGTAATGATAGTAACACTAGTGCTAATCATAACAACAATGAGCATAATATTGGTGACGATAACAGTAATATCACTAACAATAATAGTAATAGTCACAATCATAATAATAACAGTCATGATGGTGATTATAATAAAAACAATCACAATTACAACAATAATAATGATGGCAGTAATAATATTGATAATAATGGTGACAGGGGTAATAAGTGTGGTAGTATTAATGATAATTATCATAAAGATAATAATAATAACAGTGCTAGCAACAGTAATAATATTAATAACCGTCATAATAATCATAATCGTACTGATAATATTAATAATGACAATAATGTTATTTAAAACAGTAATAATAATAACCATACTCTTGGTAATAATGATAATGATAGCAATAATAACAATAGTAATCATAATGGTAGTAACGGTGACAACGATGGTGATAATAGTGTTAATAATAATGACAATAATGTTGATAGTAACAGTAATAATAGTAGTGATAACAGAAATAATGGCAATAATGATGATAATAATAATCAACCATAACAATAATAATAATGACAATGACGGTAGTGATAATGGTAATAATAGTGGTAGTCATAATCAAAACCATAATAATAGTAATGGCAATAATGATAATGACAGTAATATTAATAATAGCAGTAATGATGATAATAAAAGTTATAATCATAACAACAGTAATAATAATCACAGTCATGATCAACATGACAATAATAACAACGATAGAACTTGTTCCTTCATAGCTTGTCAACTATTTTATCCGCGATAACGTAGCTTAACTTTACTCCATGCAAGTTTTCAGCGTTATATATATATATTACGGAAGAAAAAGCAAAAAATGTGAATATAAATACAGGCTACTATACGAACACTCACTTGACAATGAGGATGCATATTAGACGAACCAACAGCAGCACCTCGATTTTCAAAAATCTGCAACCATTGATGACATTTCCCCTTTAAATATGTTTCAGTGATTCGGCACCATTCAGTAATTACAGATAATATTTCATGCTGTTCCATTAAGGCTAGAGTTTTATGTGGATCTGGATGGAAACATGTAACTAAACAATCTCCTCGAGCTGGTGCATATGCAAATAATAGATTTTCATTGACAGATTTGAAAACAGCTGAACTATCAGATCGACTATTGCACTCATCATTCACCTAGATAATAAATGACCAAAAAAACAAATCAGTGATCAAACTGATAGAATAAAGTGAAATAGAAGCATGTCTACTGCTCTCATCTGAAGCTATAATGATATCAGATTAGTTGCAAAGAATATTAGCAAACAGTGGTGACAATTCATCACAAGCCACAAAATCTGTAACTACCAGTTTAACCTGCTTTCAAAACAGAACTCCTATTATATCTAAAACTGCTGATTTGAATAACGATCAGTTTACTTCAGGAGAGATCTCAGACTTTAGTAGTTACGGACAGGCGACATCACTAAGTTGCTATGTTCGAATCAACTAGGTGAAGTCAAAAATCCTTATAATTTTGAGGGAGAACCTTCAGAAATTAACAGTTCAATATAATACTCAGCTCCAAAAGAAACTCACCACAGCATGAAACAAAAAAGGAAGGGGGCGTGGGACCTAGGCTGAAATACCGCATATCGAATCAGTACAGTTGTCATAAAGCGGAAAACCGATAGAACGAAAGATGTGAATGCATCTATGTGGCTGAAACTAATTGTGAGCTACATCTCTTAGTCTCCAACCGTCAATCTTGGTTATGTCATATGTTTCAGTCAAAAAGCTTGGACTTAGACAAACACTCATGGACTTTTTTTACCTGTCAGGTTCAAAATCAGTGATAAAGACCGAAATCCACTCAGCAACCTTGTGCACATCCGTACAGTAGGTAACGGGCCACACTTAGTATGAGGGGCTGATTATACTAGCTGGTTGCCCAGACATCGGTAGGTGAAGCGATGCTTGAACCCGTGACCCAGTGGTTGAGTCATTTCCCTAACCAATGAGCCACAACTCCATTGGCAGAATGTAAATTCATAATGGATTCGTTTATTTTATATGGTATAGTGGCAGTATTGTACATTGGATGAAATTCCCAAGACAAACTATTCTTCATAGTTATACATCATATGATTATGACTGACCTACCTCTTTTACGTAGTACTCTTAACCTTTAACAGCCTGACGGTTTTACCACTTGCAAATGAAATTACGAAAGCTCACATGATAAACGTACACATGAGCTTTGTTTGCGTTTTGCGCCCGAAGATCAACTATACAGATAGCATTAAACGATACTATTTCTGTGACGAAAAGTCATATATGTCCAAATAAGTTGTTACATGTTAGATAAACCTTTCGTATACGTGAAAAGATTTTGCTGGGAATATAGGTGGTTTGATCAACACACTCAACTACTTGGTGTTTTGTTCTTATAGTTGTCAATAAAGGCTACTCTTAGAGAATTATTTTACACTTGATGAGTGCCAAACGTTTATAAGGAGGTAAATGTTTTCACACGAGTCAGAATATCAAGCACCTTGTTAACGTCCTTACCTGACACAACCACCAGTGTCTGAAGACTCTAGTTCTACTGGAAAATCATCGAACAGGTTAGCTTCTAGGAAATCAGGTATAATCAAAGTCACTTACCTTCATCAAAGCCCCAACAATAAAAAAGTTGAATACAGATGATTACAGAGAATGTAATATAATTCAACGATACGCAGTTTCATGGACCATAGCCCAATGACGATTACAATGGACACACCCAGCAGAAATACAGGTTAATGTGTCTTCAGATAGCAATCTTCTATAAGTCACTGTACAGCTCCGAGTTTAGACAGATTTTCTGGTCGAATTAACACACTTTATCGACACCTGCCTCACAGCTGAGGACCTCTGTAAGGCTTCTTGGTTGATAGATTCTATAAATACAGGAAGTGTTGGACCCCAGTAAGTATGTTCGTGTTATGAGATTTATGCGGTGACTAATATTGAATCGATACACTTATGACCTATGACCAGTGTATCCGTTAGTTGAACTATTAAATTCATCATTGACACTCTAACAGACATTTGGGGCCGAATAGTCTTTTCATCTCACTTTGTATCATTTAAAATGCATAACAACCATAGGAACTTTAAAAACGAACTGGTGGTTAACCGAGTCGTAGTTATCAGCCAAAGGAGGTAATCCTCAAGGTGATCCGTCTAACGTTCTACATGATTATTCTGGGAGGTAATTAAAACCTGTCTCTCTCGTTGATACACGCACTAACTATGAGGTAGTTTCATGCATAAGGTCACATAGATGCCAATTGTTTTCTTATACTGATGACCTTTTACATCTCATCTCCCTAATATCACTACACAAAATTGATAACAGTTATTGCAGAGGCATTTATTCACGATCAACTTAATTATTTCATTTTCATACAAAACACAAACTTGTTACAACATGAAGACCAAGCAATGAGTCATACAAAATGATACAACAGCAGTAGGAGGAAATAATTCATATAAAATGGAGGTAAAAAAGAACAGAAGCGAAAGTGAAAATGAGTTGGTAGAGAAGCAGTTTTGAGAATAAATATGGAAGGATTCACTATCTTCCTCTGACTCTTTTACGACAACAAAAACACACAAGAAAACTGCACCATGATACTCATCGATTTCAATTCTGAACCATTTCTGCAATCGTCTAAGCCCCAATGAGTTACCCACTCTCTGTGACCTCATCTTGGGGGCCATAAGGCACGAAACAATGCTAACTAAAGATAACTATCCGTCATCCTCAGGTGACACATCATCCACCGATCCCCCCCCGTATATTCTTCCCAAAAAGTTTCCAGACAAGCAAGCAGTGAACGACTTGAGAACTGTTGGAATAATATTCCTAACACATCTCCAAGCAACTGTAGACGGTGCTTCGAGATGACTTCATTCAACGAGTCACGATCTCCGTCATGCATACACAAACGTCGATTAACCTCAAAAGTACTCACATAGTGTTTTCATCAGATGCTAGCAATCCTCCGGAGACAAAAGTGATCGAACACTCAGAGTCCTCAGACATCCTCAACCTTGAGACGCTAGATTCCACAGAGTAGAGAAGAACTGTTTGGACTGCTGAGTTGTATACCTGACCTTTTACAGACCGACTGACGTCACGATACCGTCAAAGGCGAATGCAGGTATAGGCTACTGTCAATCTTGTAGAAATACATTGTACTTCGCGCGAAATGCATACCAAACTTACTGACACTGACCACCGACTGATTACACGTGATTCGGCTAGTCTCTATGTTGTCTCACAGCAAAATGGTTGGGTCTGCATACTCTAAATTCAAGTCTTCCTCATGGAAAAAGATGTGCACCGGCAACAACCTCTTTCACAGTTGTCGCCAAAATGTCATCGATTGAAAAGTTGATGAAGAATGACGAAATAAGCCAAACCGTACCGTTGATTTGAAGCAATGGAGAGGTGATTGTATGCTATCACTCTACCTGAGATATTGTTTTGTGTCGGTCTTTGTGGATGATGCTAACCAACTTTATAGACACAAAGCTCTGTAACAGATATTTCCAGAAAACATTCAGATCCAACGAATTAAATTCAGTCCTACGATCAAGAAAGACAACTATGAGTCAGCAATATGTGTGATGGTGTTCGAGCATCTGATAGAAGGTGAACACGTGACGAATGCATCCGTCACCAAGACGAAAGCCAACCTGCCCCTCACAAACAAGATTTACTCGCCATTTGCAGACCCATCGAAGTTTAATAACCGCCAAATATTTTAGACGATACTAGTAGCAATCTGATACGACTACCACATACATTACGTAGACCCTCCCCAAAGATGAGTACAATAGTGACTTTATTCTACGGTGGTGCAACACTCGGATCACCACACCTTTTTAAACAGTCTGTTGAGTAGCCCGACTATAGTGTCACACATATCCTTACAAGTGGCCAGGAGTGAATTGTCCTGGTCAAATGCCTTGATTCTTAGAGTTCACTATGCATCCCCACTTCGTTGTCCCATGCTTGTGTTAACTAGACATGAGGATTACGATTATCAAGTCGACGTTGCTGGAACAGTGTGTAAATTATCTGACAACCATACATTTATTTATCTACGAAGGTTGTTGTTCTGTGAATGGCCTACTTCACAGACCATCTCGATGACACCAGACTTCTTAATGCTGGTGTCTTGGATGAACTGGAACAGCTTACACGTATTACCACCTCCAACTGTTGTTTCTATTTCACTCGTACCTTATGACCATTATACGCCTCAGTCCTTATGTGAATGCTGTTCATTGTGTCAAGTAAGTGACCTGCACACACGCTTGTAGTCACTGCCTGCGTGTCAGACTCTCAGACGATTGTCAAGTTGCGAGAAGTTCACAGTGACCGAGTGTTCATCAGTAGGATGTTCCTCAGAAACTTACCCAATTTCACCTACAATTTAATGTTGCTTGTTAAGTGCAGCCAATGCTGATTCATACTTCCTGAAATTCTGATAGGTAACTATGTAGTCTTGAACGTGACTCGATTTTGTATTGAATTGCAATAGTGATGACAACCATTGAAAAACGTTGATCCGTGTGAGACGACTATTTTGATGACCACCAAAACACCAGGTGATCGTAGTACATAGAGAAGCGTGATAATGAGTTCAGTCATTTGCTAGAGAAGCAGTTATCACAAGACATTGGTTGTACCAGAAGTTAGTACCAGCTCGAAATATGTTGGGATTTACGCAAAGCTACAGAAAACAGTCCTTACTAACCAAGATGTACTTACCAGCCACGTAAGAAACTCTCCTCAGAGCCTAGACACCCGAACTAACTATTCAATTCGGTGGCTAGTCTTACAATGTCTAACAAGTGCACTTGTAGTGAAAGTCTCTCAAGAGATGGAAAGAAGGACTCACCTCCAGCGATATCCAAAAAGGAATGATGACAAGTAGGCATCATTTTCGTTGCCAGTTACAATCTTAATAAAATTGAACCGTCTAGTATAACAGCAAAAGTTACACTATTAGTGGAAATCGGTTGGACTATAGAGACTTCGGGTGTGGCTGTTTTTGTGACAACGGTTGAAATCACAGGTTCTCTGCATAATCTCACGTTAAGTATGCTACTTTAAAGACAGATGGAGAAGCTATTGAGAGCACTTCAGTGAGATCTTGAATGTGGGTCTGTCAGGTAAGTAATGCATGAACAGCCCTGCTTTTCAGAGTCCTGGTTAAACTTGTCTTCTGTCTTGTCGGTATGAAGGCTCGGACGTTGAAAGCAGGCAGCCTAGACAGTGTGAAGTTTTTCGGGATAGTTGAGTGAGATATCGTGGCAGAGGACAGTTTTCTGGAAGCAGTTGTTTAGGGATTCAAAGAGGTATACACCAACAAGAATTCTAATCATTTATGAGCATCCGGGTGAAATAAAGATGTGAACGAAGAGAAATAGTTGGTACGTAGACAGTGTGAAGTTTTTCGGGATAGTTGAGACAGATATCGCACTGGAGGACTGCACTCTGAAAGCATTATGTTTTGCAAATTAAGGTACTGCTAACAGTTGAAGATTTTAATGAGTGATGGCCACATGTTTGGGATAATAATGCAGATAAATGGAGATTACGAGATGATAGTGTTAATACAAATTAGTTCATGTGTTAAAATAACGATATTGATGTCACAAAGTGAATAACTGAGTTCTGTTTATGCTCACAAATATCAGTCTTTGTAGTGGGGTTTCGGCAATGCATAGAGGTCCTCTGTTTTATTATTGCTTTAGTTATTGTTTGTGTGCTATGATGTGGGGTTGAGGGAGGTAGCCGATTGTTTGGTGGGTCCACTTTCCGTGACTTTTTCTTGGGGTGTGGAACAAGGTTTTACGCTCCAGCTTGAGTTACTACATTCCATTGGTTGTCGCTGACTGTTTTAGGTTCATACACCCTTCAGGCTTCCTGACTGCTGTGTAGGTTACACCTTCCATTTAATTTCCTTGAAGTTATGTTATGCGGCGAATTGGTCTATTTTTTCCGAAATTTTACTCACTGTATATTCACTGATGACAAATACAATCTCTTTCAATAAAGATTTTCGAACTGGTATGTTCGTCACTATCACTGAATGCACTAAAGTGTTATTCTGTATTTGCTAACTTTCCTTATTTTACTCACAGATTTGGGCATGCGATTTTATACCATCATTGGCGTCACGACGAGATAAAAATCAACGGAATTATGCTGTCCAACATAATAATGTTCCTTTGCTGCTTGACTATGCTCTTCAAGAGGAAGCGAATATGAATAACAATCCATCTAATTCACGGATAATTATCCGTTCAAATCATTGGCTTGCACTTGTACCATGGTGGGCATGTTGGCCTTTTGAAACAATGATAATAAGCACTAGACATTTGTTTTTACCCTCTTGTTTTGTGAAAACACTACGGCGTGAAGATAGTATATGAGGCTTACATAATAGAGAGTATGAATACACGGCCGCATGAGAGCATTTTCAGAGTTTATCTCAATCCCAGCTGCATCAGAGTATTTGAGTAGCATGGACTAAAAAGGTTACCAGAATATATAACCATTCTACGTATGGTTGTAACTCGACGTCAGTGAATTTACAAAACAACGCATTTTAAATTTGATAGGGAAGGTGCTGGTTAAAACTCCTTAACTCACCAGGCTCTGACACATTTAGTGACCAGCTTGAAATCGACAAACAGCCTATTGCTGCTAGATAAGGATGCTGATAAAGCAGTCACCTAATCGCAACGGAAGTATCAAAACGTTTGATAGGTAGATGATGCCTTGAAACATCGATGCATCTACACTTAGGTTAGAAGAATAGATTAAAACGAATGAACTTTCTGACTAGTACGTTTGTTTGGCAGATTGTATCAGCCCCATGGTTGATAAATTTTCACCAAGTAGAACGACAGCTTGATAGGCATCCATGGACTAACCCCATCCATGATGCCTGCAAAATACCAGAATGGCTATAAAAAGCCGTTATAAATGGTTCTCAAAGGTAGGTAAATTAAAACTCATTGGTCTATGTAGTCAACTTTAGACCCGTGGGTTATGCGTTCGAACCCCATTAGCGGGGTTTGGGTAGCCACATAGCATTATCAGACCTCACACATGAGGCGTGACTCACTAGCCAGTGAACATGTTTAATCAGTTATCATTGAATTAACTACTCAGTCATTTATTTTTAAAGAATTCAAAGCACTATTCACATGAGGTTGGAGTATTTTGAAGATCAGCTCTAAGTCCTGGGGTAACGCAGATAATTTAACTGGCAAGGTTATAAAGCATAACTAGTTAAAGTGGAGATGGACCAACTTATAAATCATAATTAAAGTAGGAAATTACAAATAGATTCAAAGATATATATTGCACCTGAATAGTGCAAAATATGACACGTATGACCAACTGATTACATAATAATGAAAAAGAAGTATGATATGTAGCATAGTAATGATGTTCACATACTCTTTAAAGTCTTTCTGAGGTTAACAATTCTACACCATAGCTATGAACACTAGTTAAAGTGGTCTAAATGTGGCATGGACCAATGTGTAGTTAGGTATTTACATCCATCGTCAATTAGTATGGGTCCATAAGATGTTGACAATTGTTTTGTTCCTGTAGTATTTATGCACCTTCTGTACAGAGATTTGAAAACGTAATTAAATTTCGAAGAGAAGTCTTTCATGAACGAGTTACAAAAGATAGTTGTGTTCAAGTTGAAGGTAATCTGAATATCAGGAGATACAATAATTTTTGTTCAATAATCATATGCAGTTTAGCAACTATATACGTTTGTAAACAAGGTTATGGACTGAGACTACTGTGGAAAGCCAAACGGTAGTCTTAACCACCTAAGCATTGGAAGGATGGCAGAGTCAGCATCTACGTCGGAAATGGCTTAACTGCTTAGCATTTCGAATTATAAGACATAGCATTAGCACAACGAAGTAAGAGGCACCAGGATGAATGATAGATAAATAAAGGAAAAAGTGACTAAAAATGATAGTCGTAAGGAACGACGGAAATGAGATAAAGACTATGGAATTTCATATGACGACTCAGATACAGATGATGTGCGGATTCCTTCGCGCTACTGAAATCGATTCTGATTGTAAAGTAGATCTCAACCCGAAAGTCTACATTTGTCTACAGGGCTTAGACGAACAGTTAGAATTTGTGCCTCATTTTAGGCTAACCGCTTCCTATCTTTTTTCAAGCTGAACCTACTTCAGGCAACAATGTGCGACATGGAAGACGGTAGCCAGACATGCTTAACATATGTTCCGGCCATCTGAGTCAATGAAGGTTTACAACCTCATCAACTGACTTTCCTCTTCTATCTCAAACTCCACCTCTGGCTTCCGCATTACTGACTCAATAGCTTCACAACAAACAGACAGACAAAATTAATGCAGGGCCTCGCACACAATTGCATCGGTTCAGGTTGCTATACTTCACAATAGTATACAAAGAACAGGTGGGTAAAATAGTGATTTCAAAGTAGACAAAGTTGTGTGAGAGAATAAACAATTTGAAGATAACTGTTGGTGCAAATATTTAAGCTTTAGAGGACATCAAGGAGTGAATACATCTGCGCCACCGAGACCTATTTTCAGCCATGTTACAGATAACGCAAGTTGGCAAATGCCAACGGGTCTCCTATTTCCAAGCTGAGATTTTGTCATGAAGAAGCCTGTTCAAGCCATTTTTACTCCCTAAGTAGGTGAAGTAGTCAACGCATTTGACCATTTGGCACACACAACTCACTTTATAACTTAACATGGGATCCGACATTAACAAATGTGTAGAGTACTAATCCCTTAACAGGACGATGTACCTACATGGCATCCTTTTCAGTGGGAGACACTCTTCCATATGACCTCCTGGTCGACGAAGTTGAATGCCGTTTTGTCAAAAAATGCAGCTGGTGTCGGTTGTCAGTGACTGTGCTTGTGTTCCAGAATGGTGATGTTGATGTAGTATCCCTGCATCCATCTAGGCGCAGAAATATTCGTGCTTGAAGCAAAGAGTGATCACTGTCCAAACACGTACTCCACATGGAACGGCGATCTTTTACCGACCCTGTCGAGCAGAAACTGGTAGCAATATGGTCTATCTGCGTCCACCGCTGAGTTGAGGTCAGTGGACGCCATATCAGACAATGTTGCTCTGAAAATCACCCAGGCCAGAAATAAACGGTTGTCTGGTCACAATTCCAGAGGATAATCGCCGTTGTGTTCATTCGCCTGCGATTCTAAAAGTGTCAGTCTGCCTGGTTAAACCTATCTTCTTGTGAACTGAAATCATCTGTTATGAAAAGCATGTCTGAACGTTTAGCTTTAGGTAAGAGGTTAGACAGTTTGCAGTAGAACTTATCCTTCACTCCATTCCGACTGCGGTCAGGGAGTGTGTTGGCACAGATTACAAAGAGACCACGGCGAGTTTCACCAATGTTTTTAGTTTTCACTGCTCCTATTTAGTCGGATGGTGCATAGGTGTCTGCCAACTGGGATCTGGTCAGGCAGTGTACTATCTACCTTGGTCTAGACACTCAACTTCCAACCAACGAGCCGTGGGTTCGAACCCCTTCTGTCAACTATTTCCCTAATTCTGTAGCTTGAATGGCTATGCTGTATATTTGTAATTTATGGTATTTAGGGTATAGTTTACTATAATGGATGGTCACATAGGCACAATATGTGGTTTCAAAGAGTTAGCATACAATCACAAATAGTGGGTAATTATGAACTTTCACCAGAGCTCCTGCAGTTGTACTATAACACGCGAGATTTATTGATGTATAACATAAAGATATAATGCTTACCAGAGCTGGAAAATCGTTGTGAAATGTATAAACAGAATCATAATCAGGTGTGATTTTGCCACTTGCACGAAGAGACCCGGGAGATAAGGGATTCTTGGAATTTTCAACAACAGAATCTTCCGTGGCTTTTACGGGTTTACAATTGTCGACTTCTATTTGACCTGCCCAAGGACGTTGAATTCTTTGTGGAGAAATAATAATCCATTCATCTAATAGTGGGTTATAACGTCTGTGACCAGAAACAGGTGGATTAGTCATCTGAAACCAGATTGAATGGAAGGGAAATCTTACCAAATAGGGACTTGATCAGACATAAAACTCAAGGGGATAAAAAATATGATTTTATTTAGGTCTGTACATGAGCTAAACATTGTAGTGGCTTTCGCTTTTGATAGTTAAAAGGTCAAATCCTTTGAGTGGCTCTTTTTCTTCAAGTTCGTGTAACCAGTTAACATCTTCTTTTAATTGGTCTTTTAACTTTTGAATTTCGGAATCATAAACTTTAATATCTTCTTCAAGTGCTCTTCTTAGACCAGTGGATGGAAAAAGAAAAAATTGATCGGACAAACAAACCCATTGCTTATTTTCCGACTCCAGTTGGATCAGCTTTCGCACGGCTTCACGTGACTTTTGTCGATTTCTATCATAAACTATGCACTCTTGTTGTTTTGCCAACACCATCTCTCCAGCTTCTTCTATTTCTTCCAAATGCTTGATCACTTTGTTCTGCATTGCTAAATCCAGTTGAGACATAATTGTAACACCCTAAAATTGAGTGAAAACCAAGGAATAACGCTAAAGAATGTTTACTTATGCACCACAGTAGTTAGTTGTGTTAGTGCTTTTAGACAGGCCTGTACCAAGCACCTGACTGATGAATTTAATCATCATTCTTGTCTACCAGTCAGCAACAGCATGCATATCCACGCACTAGGCTACCCTCCAGGATTAACATACCTTTTAATTTTATCTTAGACACAGACATTCCCTTACAAGTATCAAATATTACAAGATTCCCCTAACTTTTAAAAGGTAATGAAACGGATCAAGTCTACAGCATGAAAACTTCAACTGTCCGAAACTGATTCTGCTTTCAACGTTTGCACTATGAACTATATAGCAAGATAGATTTTATCCACTAAAAATTTAGTCTTTGATTATACTTTCGTTTTTCTTCGCTGAGATATGCATAAAAGGCTTGTATGACTAGTCATCACTTGACTCTAGTCAATTAGTAGAATGGCACTAAGCTTGACTTAGCAAGTGTCTGAATTGGCGCTGTCACATCCTGAAAGCCTTAGAGCGTAAGAACAGCTAAAGGTTTGAAGTCAAAATGTACTTCCTTTGACATGCAAGACTAGAGTTACAAGTGTGATATTCATTTGGATTACTGTACAGAAATGAGGTGTCGATATATTAGTTGTACTCTGAGTTTGGGAAGTAACGAATTTTAGCTTGAGAGATAAAAATGGGTTTTATCGAAAGATACTGATGGTATATATTCACCGTAACCATTGATGACAATGGAAAAGTAAGAAAGTTAGAAACAGCAGTAAAACTCCTACGTCGGATTTTTAAAAGCTCATTTTTTTAAAACAGCCATTATCGTTTTCTACAGCTATATTTCAATTACTTCTTTCTGGTTATATTCCAGTTAGACACAAGTTGAGAGTCTACAATTTGCTAGACATTTTCACCAATCCGACAGTCGACGCGGATCATACCGCTAATTCCTTTTGGCACCTCATTACACTTAGTGGCACTGACTTGTTGGTTTGACTATTTATATCTACATTGAATAACAACACCAAAAATACATACTCCGTAGAAATAAGAATAGCAAAACACTTTATGGCTATCAAGGTAACGATCAAAATACCAATTTTGTCATAAAACGGAAGTGTTACTGAATGAATAGGAATACTGTTCACGATTAAACCACATACCTTCAGAAATATAGGGTGCTGAGTGAAAATTTGACACTAAGTATGTGTTTTAAATAAATAATTACGATTTATTGCATTAAAGTCTGGTTCGGAAATAATCAAAAGCTACATTATCAGCTATGCAAAGATAACCATAACCAGAAAGGATAAAGGAAATATTGCAGTTGTTATAAACTCTATTGACTACAAAAAGGCAAGGGTCAAAATAAGAAACTAAGTACCACAAATCCACGAGCCACACCAAACAAAAAGCCAGGACCAGCAAACACTACCACCTGGAAAGAGAAACTAGGAACTTTAACATGGCTTTCTTCATCATCAAAAAGCAGTTAGCCCTTCACTTTTATAGGTTGCAGAAATAAACAACTCAGATATTCCATTACGATCAGGTTCTTACCAACTCATTAATTAACAACTTAGCAGCGTCTTTACCTCAAGTCTGAAAACTGTATGAAAAAGAATCAAAATGCTAAGTATAGAATTCCTATAAACTCAAGAACCGAGTCATATTGACTTATATCAAAGAAGATTAACTTTTAGTGTGTCAAGAGAGTTTAATACTTTAAAATTAAAACGCGTTAAGTGTGAAATTAATTGGAAACCATTTAGAATGGACAGGTACCTATCCATAGTCAAAAACTGCAGTTTTTGATTATTTCTTTGAAGCTGGAGCCAGACTTTCATGCGAAAATTAGAATCATTTGTTTCAAACATGCTGTGATCCATACATATATAAACACTACATATAGGTAAATTATTCACCTTTTTAGATCTAACACTGACTTCAATCCTCCTCACGTGAATAACTCTGAACTTACTCGGCTAAAATAATTTTTTAACTTGATGTGACCAGAGGAACTTGTGTTGTGTTTTTTTGCCATTATTTTATCATTATTTCAGAAATTGAATCTGGTGTGAAATATTGCTGTGTCTCTCTTACAAACTCAGGGAATCAATTTCGATGCCTTGATGTTTAACATGGATGACGAACACACACATGTTCTGGTTTTTCTCAATGAGATATACTTGTGTTACATCTGGAAAGCGTCCTTGAGACTATTTCTTCACTCAATTTCATATCATAATGCTACACGTGAAATAGCACTATTTTGCATCACATGATCAACATTGTGATCAAGGTATTCAGTTTATCAGACTATGTTTGTGATTTGCTGAATAAGCACTTCATATCAGTTAGACAGCCTGCCTAGTACCAGTGTGCATAGAACGTTTGGAGGCAATTAAATACCATTGCTGGTGTACACTAGCAGAATATATTTGTGATTCAGTGGTGGAACAGGTTACGATATCCTGAAATGCTGGCTTTTAATGGGAGGCATGTAAGATTACGTCTTCTCATGTCATTCCTCTTCTTATGATCATGAGGAATGGGAAATTTTGTGCAGACTAGGTGTGTGCCTTGAATTTGTGAAACATTGCCACATGTGTGAAGCAGGGAAGTGACAATGGGATCTGGATTTGGTTGCAATGTGAATGTCAGTAACGACATAAATACTAGGCAGAACTGGAGATCAACAGGTCAGCTTCACAATCGAAGGAGGATATTCATATAATTGAATTTCGAAACATTTGAAACGATTTTGTCTGGAGGACGGCCCGATCTCTGGGTAGAGAGATGACTGGTGGAATCGAGGGTAGATGTTGTTGTCAGGATTCAAACGACGAACGACGACTACGAAATTGCAACAGGGAAATGAGATAAGTTGTTTAGGAAGCTGAATATTTTATGTTGTTTGTGGCAGACAGCAGGAAGCTGTGCTACTAGGTTCCCTTCTTTTCAGCAGTTTTTACCGTGATGTATCTGCAACCTGGAGAGAACTGATGCGCTTCACAGTTTCCAACCTCTTTCCCTTATTACTGCATTCCGTGACGCTACCACTGATCTGTTCCAGTAGTTACTGTCTCCTTGTAGGAAAGCGTTTAACGCATCGACTGTTCACTGAAAAGTGGTCCATTTTATGTTGGCTGGTGGTGAGTTATCAGCAAATCTCAATGATCAGAATATTCAAACCAATGTGGCTGTGCGTACATCTGCACGGGGTTGAGCTGTGGAATGTCATTCATGTATCCCTAATCATTAGGTTTAGTCATTGCGCTCTGTGGACTAGACTAGACGACTAATTGTGCATGCAGATATCTCATCGGGAGAGGAATTGCGTGTTTATTTAGTTTATTCACTGGAGAATGAGTTGAATGACTATCAATTGGAAGCTTCTTTTGTCTTTTACCAGGCTGTTGTGATGATTGGTTGCTAGATCATGCAGACCTGAACGTGTGTGGTTGGTGAGGAGGCGTGAAAATGTCTGGTTGATATGAAGTCAACAATTGCCTCTCCGTTATTGACTGGTGATAAATGACTTTAATTAAATTTCTGCATTCCACTCCTTATTCCTCTTGTGAAATGTAACAGCTACTTTATGCGAAATGCCTTAACCTGCACCTACGATTACGAAAGTAGGCTAATGTGGATAATAGCTTAACTCAGACCTACATCCTTTCCTAAGTGTAGTAGTTGTTTTCACAGTGGAAATATGAATACCACTGGACATTTTGGATCAGCAAATATAATAACCAATGTTACTTTATTAATGGAGATGTATATGCTTAATCTGTTTGTGTTCCTCAGATCAGTTCTCATCAAATTCAAAGCTGTTTTTGCTGTACTCATTCAGTTGATGCTTGACCTATAGTTTTGTCTCATAATTAGCGATGCAGTGTACCTGATTAATGAAGAATATTAAGGCCTTCATATACATACATGTACATGGAATTCAACTTTGATTTTATGCTTGTCTTCGTGGAGATTTCGCATTTCTATTCATTCTATGCGGTCAATCCTGTATATTCAGCTGAATTAAAATCCGTATTCTGTGAATTAGCATTAGATTTTGGAAGTGGGTATGCCTTCTTATTTCATGAAGTCCCGGTTACAGGACGGGGAGCGATGAGGGATCATTACATTTTGCCTGACGTTATTTCATTGTTTTGTGCTTTTTGTGAACTGAGGGTTTTCTGTAAAGTCTGTTTAGAACACATCGTTACTTTCATTGTCATGTGCTCCCATGGTTTCAGTCTTGATGTCAGTGTTGGCGATAATACACCTGACGTCCAGTCGATCGTCTGGTCTGATGTGATTTACCTCCAGATGGTGTTTCATATTATAAATAAGTAAGTAAATATTTTATTCCCACATTAGTAATTTAGCATGAGAGAAGCCAGTTTACAGGCATCATCACATTGATATATGTTGAAAAATCTACAACATTTTACGGGTCCTCAATAGTACAGAATGGAGGTCATTAAACTCTATCAAAACATTATGTCCGCAAGTCTTGCTATTCCATCATTCACGTTTTCTGTCTCATTTGATATTCTTTCGCTAGTAGAAGGTAGCAGCCATATGAATGGAAATATAATTGAAAATTACGTTCGGCTATATTTATAGACAACACGGTGATTAAAGTGACCATGCAGGTGAGACTCGTGAACTGTTGGTTTCGCGTCATAATCTACTCGAGTTCTTCAATTTGCTGCATTAGTGTGTTGGCAGCTGACTATCCAGTATCCTGTGCTCTAGCATCGTGCGTTTACCATGGCAACCTCCTACGCTTGTACTCAAACAGCCAGGTCGTTAATGTATTACTGTTATGATCTGTAAGGTTTATCACAATCTCGTCAAAGTGATAGGTATTATTTCGCGTGTGTATATAATTTGTCGTCCTCCGAAGGAAGTTCCTCGAAATAAGTTATATGTCCAATTACACTTTTACATTGTTCTTGTTCGAG